ACTGCTACTACTACTACTACTACTACTACTACGGCAACTGCTACTGCCACTACCACTGCCACTACTACCACTGCCACTACTACCACCTACTACTTCTACTACTACTACTACTACTGCTACTGCTACTACTTCTACTACTACTACTACTACTACTACTGCCACTACTACTACTACTACTACTACTACTACTACTACTGCCACTACTACTACTACTACTACTACTACTGCTGCTAGTACTGCTAGTGCTACTGCTACTGCTACTGCTACTGCTACTGCTACTGCTACTGCTACTGCTACTGCTACTGCTACTGCTACTGCTACTGCTGCTACTACTACTACTACTACTAGTGTACTACTACTACGACGACGACGACCACCATTACTATTACTACTACTACTATTACTACTACTACTACTACTGCTACTCCTACTACTACTACTACTATGACTACCACCACCACCACCGCCTACTACCGCTTACTACCACCACCACCACCAGCGTTTGTACTAGTACTGTTGTCGCTACTGCTACTACCACAGCTATACAGCTATGGCGATCATGGGCCTAATCATTGTAATGGTTGCTGTTGTCGTAGCACCTCCAAACAGTCGTCGTCGTCGAAGTATCAGCATGTCAACCAATTCGTTGTTCTTGGTTAATGCAGCTGTCGGTGTTGTTTGTCGATACGATTTGCTCTTGCTGCAGTGGTGATTGTGTTTGCTGTTTGCTTCTGCTGCGCCATGTGTTACCCTCGCTTCTGATGTTCATGTCACAATTTGGTGGTTTTGTCAGTTATGCCTGTCGTCGTTGGGTGAGTCCTGGGTCCTGGTTCTTGCTACTTGTGCTGTGAATGTTGTTCTCTTTCGGTCGCACCGAATAGGCCCAATGATTGCTTGTGTACTGCCTGGCAGGAGCGGAAGCGCCGAGCAGAAGAGCTGGAGGCCCTTGACAAGGCCGACACAATGCACAGTATGAGCAACCGCAATATCAGATCCAATCCGGACCATGCTGAAGTGACCCCATGTGCTACAGTTTCCCAGCACAGGCTTACGAGATGCTCAGCCGGGCCGCAAACCTGGGCAGCTTGGCTGTGAGCTCGTCCTATCGCTCATGGATGCGTAGGTCAGGACAAGAGCAAGAAGGCTTCATGTCGTTGCCGTGCCGTTGGCACTGCAGAAAGCCGTGGAAAGTACCTATACATAGCTTGTTTAAGCATCATGAGCCCAGTCATCATCAAAGCCCAATGTAACCGCTACTAGACTCTAGAAAAAAACCCAGCAGCTCTACAGGCTCTTAGATGCTGACGGGCGAGGCGCCAGATCGTGCAATGAGGACTGCAGCTTGGATGCATTTGTCACTGGCATATCCAACAGTTCACCAGTTTTGTAGTAGCCTGGGTCATGTTCACGCAGTACGTTGCACGATATTGCATACATGTGCCTACTGCGGTTTAATGGGGATGCGTGGTACTTGCATTCGCTTGGGTCGCAGTTGGTTCCTGCAAGTCCTTCTCATGTCAAGACTAAACGAGGGGGCTTTTCGCTGTCGGTGCGGACTGGAAGGCCCGGGGTCGGAGCCCCTCAGCTGGGCCACCACTGGTTCATGCCAGTTCAGGCCGTCGAGAAGCCAGCACGAGATGTGAAAAAGGAAGTGCGTTTGTTCGTGCGACATGACGGTGATTGTAGTCGGTATAGCTTTCTTGTTGAAAGGGACTGCAACTCCTGCACCTTCAGATGTACGGACGCATCATATGACAGCAATCCTGACAAGTAGATGGGCAGGGCATGTTACAAGCTCACATGATGATTTGTGGTGCTGATGGCGCCTTACCCCGGCCGCACAATTGTCTCGCACATTTGGGCTCAGCCGAACGACGCATCGACCCCAGTGGTGATAAATCCGGCGTTGCTCAGCTGCAAGCAGTTCGACACGGCACTCAAGAGTACAAATCGACATGACCCCCTCGGAGTTGCTTTTGCAGCCAACCTGTGCTTTGTTTCTGTCCATCGTTCGCACAGGGCATTCGCCTCTCCAAGCTGTGCAACTTGGTATGCCACTGTGGTGACTTTCGCGGAAGCACAGCTCTTGACGCGATATCTTCGCAATTTTGGCAACGGCTGCTTTGGGCCAGGGGGAAGACACGAAAGACGATTCATGCGGCGAGTTGCGTTTGATTCATATGCCTTTGGCTTGTCCTGCACCTTTAGGCAACATGGCATCTTCGCAGACACATCCAGCTATGCTTGCCTTGTTGGAGGCCGGCTTTTGCGAAAGATTGTTCGCGAGTTTCCTCGCTGCTGTCGACCACAACGGCCACACTGTGTTTTGTGGGTTCAGGAGATGCTTGCACTCAATGTCTCCGGGTTCTTCGAGCGCAACGACCGCAGTCGCCGCCGCGAGCGTCGCCGTAGCAGCTTTGGCAGCGAAGGAAGACTTGAAGCTGATGATGAGTTGGCAGCTAGTGGCTGGTGTTTTGATAATCCTGAACAGACCGTTTCGAGATGGCAGGATTGCCAGGACAAGTGACTGAGACATGGACATGCGATCTGAGGCTATGCCTTCCCACGTCGTTAATGGACGCCAAGCTGCATAGTCTGAATTGAACCACATAGACTGCATGCAAGCCAGGCCAGGCCGTTTCGGCCAGCAACTGCCAGCATATGCTGCAACAGCACATGCCGTGAGTATCTCGCAGTGCCAGCACTGAATCTGTGGAATGAATTGGCGAAGGAGTTGACGTGGGAAGGCGACATCGCTTTCGAAATGACCCGACGTGAGTCAGGCCGTCAAAGCTTGACCAAAGCATTGGGAGTGCGGCATCGCAATGATCCTGCATGAACGATGCCTTGGTCGGGTGAGTAGTTGAACAAGAAAGACATCGACAATGGCATACTGACTTGCAAACTTGCCATGCAGGGGAAGAGGATTCCTTGGCGCTGATGCGCCTCAGCCCTGAAGCGTCGCAGGATTCAGCCATGCCTTGCACTGCACATGTTAAGGATGCAACAGCAGTGTGTGCATATGCCCACCTTCCAGGAGCAGCTTGACGATGCGTTTGAGCGCGATGTCGTCGAGGCAGCACTCAATCGTTTCCATAAGCCACCCTGTCCATGGGAGCATTGGCATGTGCGGCAATGTTGAAAAAGAAGGGCCCTACAACAAATTCAGAACGATTTCAGACAGACAAGTTGACTGGGTTGATCGGGCGGTTTTCTTTTGCCTGGTTGCCACCGGTTTGCTGTAGTTTTTGTTCGCTGGGTGTTGCATGTCTGATCCTGATCCGAGTGTTGGAATCATGTGTCAATCTCATGGTGGTGCTGATATCCACGATGTCTTTAGCATAAGTCTGATGGAGTCGTTCTATTTTTCAGCGAGATTTCTACAAGCCAAGTGCTCCACGCTTGCCTTTCACAACAGCCTTTCCTCTGCGAGTCTCTTTCACATGTGCCGTACCTCCAGCCGGGAGGCATTGCAGTGCGGGCACAAGAAGCACGTGCCCAACCAGCGCTTCAAGAAAATAAAAGCAAAGTACCAGGACTGGCCAATTTTAGGCGTGCGCTTTCAAGCAGCCCCACGTTCATTTTTACAGCTGCAGCGGCCTTGTTACCGAGTCCTTGTCGGACAGGGGTTTTGAACCTGCTTGAGGCGCAAGTTCTGCTCCTCAATCTTTCAAACCTGAGCGACATGAGTCGGGTGCCTCGTGCCAGGAGCGCTTGCACGAGCCAGAAACGCTGCCTCCTTCCAAGCCGCTGCCCAGGCCGCTTCATGCTCTAACATCTTCGCAGCGTCTGCGAGTCCTTGAGCACAGTTCTAGTTCGCAAGTAAGAATGCGGGGAGTGAGGCCCGGAACTATGCTTTGACAAGGTGTCGATATTGGATGAACTTTTGCAAATTGCTTTCTAGATGCTTCTTGGGGTGTAGGAATCGTTTACAACTTTTTGCAACCTTCAACACTGCCAGATCCACGAAGCCTCGACGCTGTGGCACCAAACGAGCCAAGCAGCTTCGGCGGATGCACAACTTGCTGCAGTCTTTGATGCTCGCATCAATTCAGCAATGTGCTTGCGTGTTTCTGGCTTCCTCATATTGCGCAGCACCAGTTTTCCATCTGTGGGAGACCTTCGAAGAAGCCTCGCAGGTTTCAGCTGATAGCCGCTTGCTTTGTGAAGCTGTGAAAGCAACTCCTTGGAAGGCCTCCGGACCGAAGGCGCTGCGCCATCCAGGCACTGCCTCAGAAGATGCGGCTGGCTCTCGAAGGTGCAGTGCCGGCTTGCCAAGTCGGGTTCGTCGGTTCAGGCATCAGAGCTGTGGCTGCCCGGCGTACGACATGGGCAGAAGTTCGACAGAAACTCCACTGAATGCCGAATGCCAGCTAACTCTTCTTGTCACTCTCGACGTGGCGTGCCCACGTTCAGCAGCTTTCAGAAGTCAATCGTGCCTCTCATCAACCCAAGCAGTGCATGACAGAAACCTTGGTACAATAACGAGACGTGGGTTTATGCCCATGCATGACTACTGTTGCACCGTTAAGAGCTACACCCGGCAGGTTGGATTTTGCAGCAGCACCGCCCAGCTGTGACCAAGCAAGCTGTGGGGGGCCATATCTGGCAGCAGCACTGCCACGTCCTCGACTCTTCACGCGACACAGAGACCCTCTTCTAGCTGGCAGAGTGCAAAGGTCACGGTTCTGGTTTCGTGGCTGCGATCCATTTGGGGCGAGGCGTGTGGCATTGAAACCGCTTTAGTTGCATGTCGAAGCTGTTCAAAGGTGGCATGGCTGCCGTGCATAGTCGCCAGAGCTTAGTGGAGTAAGGCCTGCTATCGAGCATGGCTTCAGTTCTGAATGTTCTCCGAAGGGCGAAGGTACGCAAGGCCTCAGGTACATTCTGGCCTGCTGCTTTGCTTGTCTGCTAAAGCTTGCAGGTCTCCACGCACAGAGTGCCGCATGCAAGGCCAGGGCTCACTACCAGTGCAACTGCTGCCGTTGTTTTGGCTTTGTGGAGGTTTCGGCGTTCTGTCCATATGGCTTTTGTGTGTCTTTATCAGCAATAAGGCGGAGCATGACGACGCAGGATGGCGATTACGATGATGGCGAGGATGAGGAAAACAAGTAAGGATAAGGAGGAAGAGGTTTTTCGAAAAGCATTTCCCAGCCTCAGAACAATTCGAAACGTTGTTAATGACCAACATTGGGTGACGAAGGCCTATGTTCAGGGTGGTTTCGCCAAGCTGCCACGATCTGAGCACCCTTGATGTTCGACAAGACAAAGAATACGCGCACATCCGGCTCGCACGCCGAAGCCTCGCAGTTTTTTGGCTGGGCAAACGGACACGAAACTTGATCCAGGGTCCGCCCGGACATGACTGCAACAGTGGCCACCGGATGATCTACGACGTTATCGTGACTGTTATGAGAGCCCTGAGATGCCCTGAGACACGGTGCCACAAGCTTGTGAAAGGGTCGGTTTCTGTTAACTTCGGTCCCGGAGAGTCCACATGAATGCAGTTGCAGAGTCATGCATCGCTCCTGGACTGGTAGGATCTACGATCTGCAGCGAGATGCCTCGCTTTGCTGCTCAGGTGACTCTCTGAGTTACAGCTAAGGGTTACAGCAACGGTATCGAATCTCCAGCAGTATTACATCCAGCCAGCGGAAGCTATCTTGTGATGTGGCGGGTTTGTTCTCGAGTCACCCTCCCTCCCCTTCCCAGATGCTCCGAGGTGGCATGCCAAATGCAGCCGACTCTTGGCCAAGAGATATCAGCTTCCTGCCGAGCTGCAGCAACAACAGCTTGAGCCGAGCCTAACATGCACATACATCGGCGCACCTTGAATCAGGTGATTGTGCCAGCGGTGGTGGTCCGGAGGAGAGCAGACGAAGGGTTCAATCAACTTCTGAGTGAGTATCTGGCAGGAGGCTAAGCGCTTCGCCCAAAGTGTTCTGGAGGCCGGGCGATGGCGGAATATGTCGCAGACCGGAACCAGCATGCAAAAGCTGGCTCGGTTCGGTTGTGGGCCGATTGCGCAGAGTTCATGTGGATGAAGACATCTTGGCGATGGAGGCTCAGCCTCGAACTATGAAGCTTTACATCCGTGCGCGCATGCGCGTGACATCGGACAAAAGGCCGGCGTGTGAGAGCTGCAAATAGAGGCAACAGATGCTGCGAGGTTTAGCTAAACATGTTCAAGCCTCCGGGGACTCCGGAGTGTTTCGAGCTGTCTCGAGTCCTTGGCAAGGCTGTCGTCACCCCTCCGCAGCGATGCAGCGACGGCGGTGCTGGATTGGCTACAACTCGGCATTCATGAAGGCCCGGCTCAGGTGGAATAGGAAGTCAATCCCAAAAAAAGATGTTGGAAAGGTTGTCACTCATCATGAACAAGACTCTGCTCTATGCTGTGCAAGTAAGATTCAAGATCGCATCAGTGGTAAACCTGTGACATGCAGAAGTTGAAGTGGTATCAGATCAGGAAAGGCTAGGAACTGCTCCATGGCCGCTCCTGGCCAGTGTCAGAGGTTAAGCCAGTGTTGATTGTGTGAGTGTGTCTCCCTGCTTTGGGACAGAGACTCGACGCTTGTCATTCTGCAGGCGATTCTCTGAATCCTGTGGGCAAGGAGACGCCCAGCTCAGACAAGGCTTGAAGGGGATTCCCATGGGATGGTTGCGATTGGTGCGTTCGTCTTTTGTTTGCTCTCCAAAAGTCACGAAGAGGCACGAGCCAGAATTCGCAAGAAAATTGGCGACCTGCTAGGTAGACGCAGCATTCTGTCCAAAATTCTTTCCGAAACCGTGGTAACTATGCTGAAGCCGCGGAGGCAGCCAGGCGCTGGCTCCACGCCTCGAAGGCCTGGATGCGAATCTGGAAGCAGCGCGGCCGGGATGCCGTGCCTTCGTCTAGACACAGCTCATGATACACACCCCCTGACCTGACTGATCTCAACATTACTGTCGTTCGCGGCAAGGCGCAGCCATGGTCAGTCTAGGACTAGGAGGCATCTTTCATGTCTTCGAGACGTTTCGACACCGACCCTCACTTCCGAGCGATTGTCTGACTGACCGGACAACCATGCAGGGGCAAGCTAGCTGCCCATTGAATTCTGAGCACCCAGGATGCCTTGCAAAAGGAGCTCAACTCGATGCAGGCAGAGGGCTGCACAAACCTGTTATACACTTCAGCCCAAGCCATCCAAAGCCCAATTGCCCCCCCAAAAAAAATTACAGGGGATCCAAAGCTCCGCTTTGGCGCCGAAGAGGCTCAGTTTCGGGGAGCGCTCCTGGAGTCCTTGAAGCGGCAGCAATGTGCCTTCACAGAGATGCAGCAACTGGCAGAGGAGCCTCTTTTTTGGGGGGACTTGGCCCGGTGACAAAAAAGGGTTTATAGTGAAACCCAAGGCATCCAAGGAAGTACTCGATTTATTTGCCGGGAGTTAGTGCCACCGTCTTCTCTTTGCAAGTTGCTTTGTCGTCAAAGTCCTGCAAGTTTTCCGTGTGCGTATGTCGCAGGAGCACGGCTCTGCCAACTTGAAGCCGCATCGGCTCCATGGCATTGCTTTGCAGCCGAACCTGTGTAACTGGGACTAGCTGCCTAGCGAGTCCAGGGCTCTGTGTCGACCAATCCGGCGCCACTTGCAGCCCTGAGCTGATGTAAGCCAGGTGGGCCAAAGGGCTGTGCAGGGTTTCAAACCTGCAGCTTGAAACAGCTACTTGGCACCTACCAGGGAGGTGCTAGGTTTGCCTCTGCTTGGCAAGAAATTTGCCAACTAGGGAGGCCGACAAAAGCAGTCGGGACAGAGGCAGCCACCTGTGCTGCACAGTAGAAATCAGCTGCTTTCCAGCACAAAGTGGGAAGATGCTCCAATGGCGCTGCCGACATAGATCGGCAGCAGTTGCCTTCGTGAGTCCGACAGTCCGGCACTGCGTCAGAAGTTAGAATACGGAGGAAGCGGAGAGTAGTGCTGGGGGTAGCTAGAAAGCTTCTTGATCAATGAACAGTTTCAGCCGCTCCGGTCGGACTGGGCAAGGCAACGTATCCGAAGAGCAAATCCTAGCTCGCAGGACGTACAGAGCCTTGTGACTCTCGCAAACTCCGGAGCCTAATGGAAGAGACTTCGGCAACCGACCTGCGGGTCTACAGAAAACCGGCCTGAGACCGGCTCAGCTTCTCGCGAGTCGCGCCACATGCCAGCTGCCATCCCTTATGACAAAGATGCAAATCGCTTTTGTTGCTGTTGGGACAGGTTGAACTTGACGAGGCGGAGGATGCGCCAGAAGCTCATGATGAGGCAACCTTTGCAGACTTGGGAGACATGTGCGGTGCAGCTGGCCGCTGGCAGAAAGCAGAAAATGCGCAGGGGTTTGAGAACGAGCCTGATGACACAGTCTACCAACATCACGCATAATTAGTTCTTCTCTTGCTTTCAGACAGAAGCGGGATCGAAAAATGGCTAGCTGCTGCTAGCTCCTGCAACTTAAGCATCGGCGAACCTCAAGCTCACTGAAAGCAACTCAGGTAGCCGAATGTAGCCAACAAGGCCACGGAAAACGAAGAAGGCAAACAAGCTGAAGAGAGGACAAGCCTTTCACAAGCAACCAGTGACGGATTTATACCCAGAAAGCAATGCGGCCAGTGAGTGCAGGGCAGATAACAAAATAACTGGTCACCTCCAGATTCTTCAAATGGAAAGGCTTTGAGATGTCTAAGAAGCCGTCAAGGGACATTTAACGGCGCTGCAAGGGTCAGGGAGGCTGAAAGAACATGTTACAAGCAGCGGGAATATGCGTTTAGAGTTTAGACGTCACCTGAAAGCGCAGGAAGAATGTGTTATACCTTTGCAGTGAGCGCTTCCGCACGTTTTTCGGCACATCGGCTGCCCATCTCATACATAACGGATAGCGCCGACTTGTGGACGAGAAGCCTTCGCGTACCAATTAGGCTGAGTTTAGACGGTTGTCCGTGTAGCGACCCCACCCTCTCTACTGGCCCCCGGCCCCTGATCCACCCACGTTCGAGTGAGGTAAAGCACCTTTGTGTCTGAGCTCTCAGGCTATCAAGTCATGTTTTGCTTTGCCTGTCCGGATCCTTACAAAAACGAACGCATACTTCCTACGGCGGCTGTTCAGGGGCGCTTAGACACAATTAAAGAGCACACCCTTGCGCCAGAAGCACAAAGCAGGCCACCCCGGCTGACGATTTGGACCACCAGCTGGCAGAGCTGCGAGAGGAGGCTGCTACAAGCAGTTCGGGCTGCAACTCACCCAGGACAGCCCGAGACTGGGTTTGCAAAGGTCGGCAACCCCGAATTGGCCGCAGCCCGGAAAGTTGCAGCGTCCAAGGCCGGGCAAGACTGATCTTTGCTGATTTCCTGCTGTCTCTCACCCAGGCAGCAGTCAGGCCGCCTGCTAGCCGCGTCAAGACTGAGGCGAGGGTCTGAGGGGCTTGATACACACGGGCTAGGCTGTGTTCCACTTGCATAGGCCGCCAAGTATTTGTCAAGACATGGGCACGTCGCGCTTCTGTCTTGTGAAAGTCTGCATCGGGAACACGGACTCCTAGATTAGGTGTTGAAAGCTTCCTGTCAAAACGATAGACAACATGTTCCAATAACAACACGTCATTCAACCAGGAAGCAAACCCACAGTGGTTGGGGGCCAGGAAGCGCCGGATGTTTCCCAGTTCGAAACTCCAGGCAGGGAGCTGTTGTCTGCCTGCGACTGGCACACTGAAGGAAGATTCTTTGGGCGACTCATTCTGCCGAGATGTTGGAAGATTGTGATGTTTGCTAGTCTGGGAGGTTTCAGTAGCCCAGATCACGTGATCAGCGTTCCTTTCGCTCCACGTGCCAGCTATGGCTGCAGCGCGGAGTTGGGTACTACACTCAGTTACAGATGCAAGTTTCACTTGGCGAAGCCGCCTACTTGCAAGCAATAGCTACTTTACTCCTAAATGCGCCATCGCATTCTGACACCGCAAACTTTGTTGGGCTGCAGCTGATTGCTTATGTGGCAACTGTTTTGGCAGGGTGTCATGCTGAGGTTAGCAGTCGACAGCAGCATCAACACTGGCAGAAGACACACAGGCCGAGCACCAAGCCTTCTCAAGCAGCTACGTTTGATCGCGACGGGACACAAGGGTGCCACTTGCAGTGCTGCTTGCAGTTGCCAGCCACACCACTGGTGAGCGCAATCACGACGCAGAACACTAATCGGTCATTGTGGGATAGTTCAGGGGGAATCCGAGAAGAGACCAAGACAGACTTGAGGCCAAGGGAGCCCACCTTTCCACCCAGGACGAAGGCCGTGCTGGTGTTTCTGCTATAGTGCTCTCGAAGGAAAGAGACTAGATTGAATCAGGCACACGGCATGCGGGCTGTGTATTCCTGTGTCCAATTATCTACAGTTCTACAGCAAAGGTCAGGGCTCCCGCTGCGGTGCTTTGCATAGTTTTCCCAGACATCCTACTGCCGAGCGCACCGCAGACCCTAGTCCAAATTACATGACAATACATGGACCACTTGTTGCTCTCGAAAACCTTGAATTGCAGCAATACCTCGGGGCAAAGGATTCGGGGTGTCCCTCTGGATCCCGCAAGCCAAGCAGGGAAGCAGAAGTCTCGTGTTCCCGAAACTCGCCAGTACTCTGGAGAAAGCTCCTGCATGGTTCCGAATCCCCCAGCTTGGGGAAAAGCGTTTTGGCACTGTCCTGGTGGACTCCTGGTGCTGTCCTGCTGCTCTCATAGCCCCCCCTCGATGAGTATATTAGGGCGGGAGGGGGTGGTCCAAGATAATTTTGGTCTTTATTATTCGGGGTGGGGGGGGGAAGTCATCAGGAGTAGGAAACCCCCGTCCCCCCCCCCACATGGTTGCCGGAGTCCTGGATCCTGGCTCAAGTCTGCCTGCCGCTCCTTCCGGGGGGCGCTCAGGGACGGCCCTTGCGGGGTACTGGCTGTCCCCAGTACTTCCCTTGGGTGAACGTTCCCTTGAGCGGAGGTTGGCTTGAGTCCATCGTCCGTTGCCGTGTGGTTTACAGTGGCCCGCGAACAGGTCTTTTCGTCCAAGCCATAAAGGTGACTGGCACGTTCGTGATTCTACAACCTTGAGGGGGAACGTGGCACCGCAAGAGCTTCTTCGAGTACTTTCCTGGGGGGGAACTCACGACTTTCTGCACCGAGGGCATCCTGGATTACGCCACCAAGCCGTACCTACAGAACCTAGACATTGGGCGGGGGAGAACCAGACCTCAAAGTCCGTGATACTCCTGCCGGGCGACATCGTGATGAATGCCCATGTGCAGGTACAGTGATGGTACATGCACCGTGGGATTCAGGAAGGTCCATGACAGACAGGACCCACAGTGCCGACTGCATGGCGTGACCTCGAGAGGCAACGTGCCCATCGCAAGGGCAAAGAAGCAGCCGGGGGAGGTTACCCCAAGCAGCCGTACATAACAGCCGGGGGAGACAGCAACAAGCAGTCGGGCAAATTCGATCCGCCCACTGCAGAGATGACCGGCTTCAAGACGAGAAGGGGACTTATGCTCCTCTACGATCCCAAACCGGACGACGAATGGATCAATAGACCCATCGTTCGAATCCGGGGAGGATGGAAAGACACCTCGACAGGGGAGGCTCTCAACAAGACACAAGCACAAGCATATAGCAAGTTCCTTCGGCGACACCGCGGCCGAAACAAGGTGGGGGACCTAGCTGACAAGCTGGTCCGCATGGTAGACAAATATCTACCACTACAGGCCGATGAGACGCGTGCATATGTTTGCCGATTCCCCGAGCAAGCGGAGTCCCTCCTGAAAAGAGTCAAGAAGATACGTAAGCGACTCCGCGCCAGCAACGGGGAGAGGTGCACTACCACAACGCGATCCTCTACTACAGCCAAGGGGAGCAAAGCCAAGAAAAGAAGAGGGGAGGAAAGCACCCCCGCGGTGAAGAGTGAGGAAAAGGCCGAAAACTCGAACGAGCTAGCAGTGAATACAATGGGGGAGCATGCGAAAAAGCTGGATGGAAGCCATGTAGCTGACAAGCATGTGAGAAAAGATCGAGCCAGCGATGACAGCCCCGATTGGGGGGGAAGCTCCGACAACAGCCAAGAAGCTCGCGACCAACAGTGGCCGTGGGGACCTACTGGAAGGCCTTCCGATGGGGGAGGCAGCACAGGTGTCCTCGCGGAACGACCAAACGAGCCGGCGGGAGAACCACCCCTCCGACAAGAGCCCAGCAATGAGCATGGCGGCGGGGGACGCGTCCAGCTGACGCCTAACCCCATGTGGCAGGATATTCGACGTGTACAAGCACATATGGCCACAGCTCGAAAAGCAAGAG